AGGGTCGTATTATAGCCTCGAGTGGCGTATGTGTTGTATGTGGTATTTTGGAGAACTCACTAAGCATTTATGCTTACAGTTGTTGTGTTATGTGTTTCAGGTACTAGCGAGGATCGCGGGAAGGCGCCGACATGATCCGTACACACTGAGAGGATTTATGTATTTGAGGATCTTGGGAATTGTTATTGTGATAACACGTGATACATTGGAATACTATGATATTTTATGAATGAAAGCATGTTTTTTTTAAAATGAAAAATTGTTTTGGAAATTTACATCGTTACAAGTTGGTATCAGAGCCTTGGTTTGAGGGATTCGGGTGCATCTTCGGATGAATCTGAACTCAAACTGAGGAATTGAGAAAGTTTTCATAAAATAAACAATTTTTCTAAGAGAGTAAAAGATTTTGAGAAAAGCAGAACGGAGCAGTGTGTACGATCAGCCAGCGCCTGAACGATGATTTCCCAAAATACCCTTACATTATGTGTTATGAGATATGTTATGATATGATATGCATACTCGAGTAGGCTAGGTGTTCTTATTAGGACGAGAGTGGCCTGATCTGTAATGCCTTAGCCTAGGAGTTACTGCTACTATGAGATGCTTCGAGAGTAAGTAGGTAGCAGCGAGGAACTTATGAGTGGTCTACTAGAGAATAGCCTGAGTTTAGTGAGATATAGAGTACTTGTGATCTGGGATCCTAGTAGGAGGACTTAGGGTGAATACTGATGCGCTGTGGAAGGTAGTATAAGGGCCCGTACTACTGGAAACACCGGATCGGTGAGCAGTCCAAGTAAGAATCCTCAGGGTACTAAAGAACAAGTAGGGTTGAGTATCGAGTGCGAGTATACTCGAACGAGTCTCTGATTCTTTTGTGTTGTGTTTCAGAGACATCATGGTTGGGACGCGCCACCACCCAGGAGGCAGTGGTACCAGTGGTACCAGCGATGAGGAGATTCGTAGGTTGATTCACGAGGAGGTGGCTGCGGCCATTCGAGCTGAGATACCAGAGATGTTCGGGTCTATCAAGACCATGCTGATCGAGATTTTTGATGAGCGGTACGCTGCTCTTACTGAGGCTGTTGTTGCTACGGCCACCGCAGCCGTCGCTGCTGCCAGGCCGCAGGGGGTGACTCGTTGCTGTACCGAGAGTTCAGCAACACGAAGCCACCAGAGTTTGATGGGACGCAGGACCCGATTGCTGCGATGAGGTGGATTTCTGATATCGAGGGATGCTTCTACACCTGCTCGTGTCCGGAGCATCTGAGGGTTCGGTTTGCGCTGAACCAGCTTCGCTTGGGAGCGAAGGACTGGTGGAAGTTTGTGACGGCAGACTTCACTACGGCAGAGCTTACTGCGGTGACCTGGGAGAGGTTCACCACGATGTTTCGAGATGAGTATGTTCCCCCTGTGGAGAGGGAACGTCTGGCCCAGGAGTTCTTATCCCTCAAGCAGGGAACTGAGTCTGTGACAGTGATTACGAGGATGTTTCACGAGAGGGCGTTGTTTTGCCCTGAGCACGTGTCGACTGAGCAGGCACGTATGAGCCGGTACTTGAGCATACTGAGGAGGGATATCCGGGAGTTCGTGGCGAACTCGTCATACCGGACATTTGTCGAGCTTCAGGCAAATGCCCGGAAGAGAGAGATTGAGTTGGAGACTCAGGTTAGGGAGGAGGCCGAGTCTCAGAGGAGGGACAGGCGACCGGCACAGGTGCAGCCGGCAGCCAAGCGGGCAAAGCCCGCTGATTCGAGATCTGGGGGTCCGAAGGGCCGCACTTGTGGAAAGTGCAGCAAGAGCCACGAGGGAGGGTGCAGGGCTGGGGTGTGTTACAAGTGTGGGAAGGAGGGGCATTACACGAGGGATTGCCCTAAGGGATTCTCGGTTTGCTTTCATTGCAACCAGACCGGCCATCGGAAGGCCGAGTGCCCACAGTTGCTGCAGGGATCAGCGCAGGGATCTGCACATGTTGCTCGAGCTACTGAGACCCGGCCAGTGAAGGCCGAGGCACCGAAGGCTCGCGGGAGAGCCTTCCAGTTGACAGCGGAGGAGGTCCGCGCAGCACCCGATGTCGTGGCTGGTACTTTTCTTGTGAGTTCTGTACCTGCTTTGGTGTTATTTGACTCGGGTGCGAGTTGGTCTTTTGTGTCGTTAGCGTTTAGTCAACACATCAGTATCCAGCGGGAGGCGTTGAGTCGACCTCTACGAGTTTCCATAGCTGACGAGCGAGCGGTATATGCTACGGAGGTGATTCGGGGATGTGTACTCGAGATCTTCGGGGTTGAGTTTCCGATTGATCTGGTCCCGATTGCGATGGGGGACGTGTGTGTTATAGTGAGTATGGATTGGTTGAGCCATTTTGGGGCAGTTATAGACTGCGAGCGACAGTTGGTGACGATACGAGACCCTAGTGGGGGAGTTCTTACGGTGTACGGCAAGGGTACCCGTTCAGGGTCAGCATGAGACTTCGAGGGCGAAGTCTGGTTCTAGTGGGGGAGAATTGTAACATCCCGAAATTAAGGTGCATCTCTTATACCCTTCTTCTTTTCCAAGTTGTCAAGTTTGGCCCTTCAAGGAAATATTAAAGCAGATGAGTACGCTGGGCGCACTGAAGAGTACGATGCGCGTACTCATGCGCTTAATTTGGACGCGGACTCGCCTAGGTATGCTGGGCGTACCCAAGGTTACGTCGGGTGTAACCGGCCCAGATGCAAACCCTAAATTGTGGCTTGTGCATTATAAAAGGAATGTTAAGGCCTTATCCTCAGCCACCATTTCAGAGCGTGAAACCCTAATAGAGAGCTACCCTTCGTTCCTAGCTTGTGTGTGTGTTCTAAGCTTCAAAGTGTCATTTCAAGGTGGTGAAAGAGAAGAGGAGGCCATTTTAGGAGCTAGAAGTTGGTGGACAAGAGTAGATCTGAGTTCTACAGAGGTTGGAGCTTCTTCCTGAGGTAAAAAGCTCAAAGCTTTCCTTGTCATTTGTGATTTGTGTTTCTTGGACCAACTTTTAGGGTTTTTGGTCCCAAGGTGGAGACTTTATGAGCACATGGTCTCCATAAACCTAGATCTGCTATATTTCAGAGTAAAATGAGTTGTAGGTTCATAAAAATCCAATCTTGGACGTGAATATTGAGCCATGCATGAGATCTAGACCTTATGAGGAAGAGGGAAAGGTGTTAAAGTGATTAGGGACCTTTACAGCCTTAAAGGTCTCGACTTTATGGATTAAGTGGTCTTAGAGAAGTCAGATCTGGAGTTTGAGTTTATGTCTTAACCATTTAAGACCAAAATCCATGAATGCATGAAACTGAGACTTACGTTGGGCGTAAATCTCAGTACGAGCAGCGTAAGGGTCTGAGACCCCGATTCTGGATCGCCGGAGTACGCTCAGCGTACAGGAGCTGGTACGCGCCGCGTACTGCCCCTGTTGACTTTCGTTGACTTTTAGGGTTTTGGTCAACATTTGGACTTTTGGGTCAGGGAGGGGTAAAATGGTCTTTTACCCTTCTGTGGGATTGTATGAAGGGATGTGATCTAGTCTTTGAGAGCCATTATTTATTCGAGAGTACTGTTTATGTGTTTAGGCGGGGACTAGATCAGTGTTTTCGTGTGCGAGATTATCCGAGATACCCGAGGTGAGTCTTCTCACTATACATTACCTAGAGTGGTATTTATATGTAGACCAGAGGGTCTTGTGTGCTATGTGTATGTATGAGATTATGTGCATTGTGTTATATGTATGCTATGTGTTGAACAGACCGGGCCGGAGGGCCCAACGATATAGACCGGACCGAAGGGTCCAACGACACAGACTGGACCGAAGGGTCCGACGAGCTATGACCGGACCAGAGGGTCCAACGAGCTACAGGACTGGGGGGTCCCGCTGAGACACATCGACCGAAGGGTCGTATTATAGCCTCGAGTGGCGTATGTGTTGTATGTGGTATTTTGGAGAACTCACTAAGCATTTATGCTTACAGTTGTTGTGTTATGTGTTTCAGGTACTAGCGAGGATCGCGGGAAGGCGCCGACATGATCCGTACACACTGAGAGGATTTATGTATATAAGGATCTTGGGAATTGTTATTGTGATAACACGTGATACATTGGAATACTATGATATTTTATGAATGAAAGCATGTTTTTTTAAAATGAAAAATTGTTTTGGAAATTTACGTCGTTACAGATACTCTGATTTTTAAAATAAAGCATAAACAAATCGGTCTTTTCTGGCTGGGAAATTTGGGGATGTCACACTTTGTTCTCAACAGTTACAACAACCCAAGTTATGGGGAACATGAGGTTATTGGAATCCCTACCCACGACAGCTAAGAGTTCACCCTTGCAAATTCCTTTGAGAAAGCATCCATCAATCCCAATGACTTTTCTACACCCCTCTACCCAACCATCTCTTACACATCTGAAGCATACATAGAACCGTTTGAACATTGTACTTCCATCATGCATATGGTCCTCTTCCATACTTACAGTTGATCCTGGATTAGCTCTTTTGATTTCTATGCCATAGTCCCACAACCTACTATAATGCTCTTTCAGGGTGCCCTACTATCTCAGACAATGCAAACCTTTTTGCATTTCTACATTATCCAATGCTAACTATGATATTGTATGTGTTTGAGATTTGTGCTTTCATCTTCCTCAAACTAAGCTTGGAGTTTTCTAGAAGTACATTGAAATTTTGTTTCCCTATCCACTTGTAAGTCACTAAGCCTATTTTAAAAACTCTACCAAAATTATGAGTTCATTTAAGTGACTTAATCTGAAAAGTCCTTTCCTCTTGCATCCAAGAAGCCCACAATCTAAAAGGACATGTAGGTTCTTTACCTTTGCAACACTTCACTAGAAGTTTGTTTTTATCATTCTTTTCATACCACAAATCATATCCATGCTTAACATCATAGTTGGTAAGACAATGTTTGAGTTCACTAGGATTGGTGAATTTTATACCTAACACAGGAGCCATTTGATCCCATTGTTGCTCATAATTGTGCACAAGGTATACAGGAGGTACTTGCAACATTAGGATCTTCTTCCTCGTCATCATTAGGGAAAAGTTTGTTCAAAAAGCTGTCTTGCTTCTGAATACTTGCTCTTTCCCTTTTCATAGAAAACTCCTCATCATCCACCTCGTGTTCCCAACCCTCTTTATCTATTACATCAACTTCGTCTTCGTTGGAGTTGGTATCATCTTCAATTTCAGGCTCTTCCATTTCAATCCAGTCAAATAGGGGTTCATGCATATGGTCCACATACATAGTTACTTTCTTTTTCTCATGAAGATACTCAAGAAATTCATGATAATCACAATCGTTTTGCAATGTGGCCAATCCTTGACACAATGTTTGGCCATCTGGACAATAGTATACATCTTTGCACATCTTTCTAGTAATCATCTCTAGGTGAGCAATGAATTCAGAATACCCTTTGTCCCTGAAATCGGCGTACCTTATCTCCTTTTTATCTGGATCAAAATACGTAAATGGTCTCGAGAAGAAGTTCCCGTTGTACTGGACTTCAACGACCAATGTATCATCTTCAACCATCTGATTGTTGGTTGCTCGAAGAAAGAACAGTGGGGACGATTGAGTGAGAGTGAAGAGATAGAGATGGGGGATTTGTCTTGCCCTAATTTATGGAGATCAAATATACATGTAACACTTAAATGCCACCTAACCATCCACGTAATGTCCTAATAACCACGTAACACTCGTGTATACCATGTATGCACTATGTAACCGGTTAAACAGGAAGAAACCGGTAAACGGGACTATTTCTAAACGGTAATAACAACCTTACTGGTGTAATATGCACAAAAAATATGTTAGGGACCTAATATGGACAAACGGGAAACCTTACTACCCTCCTAAGTCATTAACCCATTAAATAAAGTTTATATAATACCGCTAAAAATTATCGATTTGCCTTATATCACTTCAAAATCCTTGCTAATTTGCAAAAGACTTTAGCAGAATATATGGTCATTTAACTAGAGTCCCCCTCAAAAAAAAGTTTGATGGAGACTATAAAGCTCCTAAAATATGATAAATGAATAACGCTCCATTTTAATATAATACTCAGGGCAGACGCAGGAATTAGTAGTAGGGGTTGCATAATTTTTTTTTCCAGTCAAACATAATATAAAACATTAAAAAAAATTCCGGTCAAACATAATATAAAACATCTAATGCAATTTTTTTTCTGGTTAAACATAATATAACAACGATCTATTAGAATTTAAATTTGTCCTCTTCGTGCAGACATCTTTTGAAACCGCTCCATTACTTTTTCATTCTCAACTTTCGCAAGTGCTTCGGTCTCGACATTACAAAGCAATGTGTCGTTCAAAAATTCATCGCCAATTTTGTTACGCAAGTCGGTCTTCAAGAGCTTCATCTTTGAAAAACATCTTTCTACACTTACGGTCGCTACGGGTAATATCAAAGCCAACTTTAAAAGCTTATAAACCAATGGATAAGACCGATGCTTCCCCGTACTAACCATCAAACGAGAAAGGTCGGAAATTCCTTTCAAACTAGTGAAGCGCTCATCTTTGATGCAAGAGTGATCAAATATATCAAGTTGTCCTTCAAGGTCTATCATATCTGAATCATCAAAGTCATTCTTGTATAACTTACCCAACTTCAATAACTTTGATTTGTCAAATTGTGCAAATGAATCACAAGGGCTCAAAGCACCCATGTATTCTAGTAATTGGGTGCTTGTTCCACTAAATCGATCCCGATATTCTGTGAGTTGCATATCTACCACCGTGTTGAAGATTTCAACCTCAAAATGAAACATATTAGTCTTTGTAGTCCTACGGTTTCTCGCACCAATATACAACTCTTCCATATCTAAAGTATCAATTTTGTGTGTTTGACAAAAAGATGATACTTTTGGCAAAATGCTAGCAAACCCTGTGTTTCTAAAAGATTGCAATGCCTCCATTGTCCCTCTAACCATCGAAGCCGCTTCTAAAATGTCTAGATCTTTTCTTTGAAGTTGCTTTGACAATGTACCCGTGAGGTATAAAATGTCATACATCATATGTAAGTAAAACACGAACTCATATGATTTAAAATATGCTAAGATTTCAGATGCTTGTTGACGGTTTGCCAATGACCCTCCCTCCTCTTTCACAAAATCTAAAACTACAAGAACATCCGCAAACAACTTCATCAAACTTGTGAGTGTGTTGAAATGTGAACCCCATCTTGTTTCTCCCGCTCGAACAAGTGTAGTCTCTTGATTTAACCCTCTTCCGGTTTCAAGTTCACCACTACACAAGCCTTTTTGCACCCTTTCTCTTGTTTGCTCTCGTAGTAAGTCTTTTCTTTTACACGAGGCACAAACAACATTAACCACCAACGAAATTTGCTCAAAAAAGTCACTAACACCATCATGCTTCTTTGCTACAGCCACAACTACTAATTGAAGTTGGTGTGCAAAGCAATGTACATAAAAAGCCGTATCATTCTCTTGTAATATCAAAGCTTTCAAACCATTGAATTCCCCTCGCATATTACTAGCCCCATCGTAACCTTGTCCTCTTATCTATTAAAATTTAAAACAATTAATATATATATATATATATATATATATATATATATATATATATATATATATAATTAAACTGAAATAACAAAAAAGTAAAGAATAAATTACATGACTAAAACTCAACTTATTACTTGTAAGTACTTCATTTATGGTGTTTTTGTGTGTCAAAGAGGATGTATCCTTCACGTGCACTAGTCCTATGAATCTTTCTTTCACAAAGCCAAGACTATCGACATAACGCAAAACAATAGTCATTTGTTCCTTTTTTGAAACATCACTAGATTCATTAACTAGTAAAGCAAAAGCATCTTGACCAATCTCTTCACGAATACTCAAAAGTACTTTTTGTGAAAAACATTGCACAAGTTCTTTTTGAATTTTAGGGGAAATTAGTTGATTGTTTTTAGGAGCATTTTCTAAAGTATTGTTGAAAATATCTTCACTAGTCTCTCGAATGGCTTTTAACACTTCAATGTAAAGCTCTCTATTTTCCGAGTTAACCGAATCGTCATGACCACGAAACGGTAAACCGATTTTCAATAAAAGTCTAACAACAATAATAGAAACACGTAATCGAGCTTTATATTTATGGTCCTCTGCTTCGGTTTTCCTCCTCAAGACTACATTAATAACTTGTTTTTCCTCATTAAAAACTCACACTTTTCTCTAGCTTTGTTGTGAAAACTATCAACACCACCCACATGAGTCCGAAATGCATCTTTTTTATTCCAAGTATCAAAACCTTGGGAAACAAATGCATCTCTCCCTCCTTTTTGTCCCATGAGGTCTCCACACACATAACAATATAAACAATATGCACTATTCTTTTTCACACTATATTCCAACCAATCAAAATCATCAAACCATGAAGGAACGAATCTTCTAAATCTATCACCTATTTTTTTTTAGGAAACTTATGTGCCCTTACTTGACACGATCCTTGAAGCAAATATGCTCTTCTTACATCATCTCTTATATTTGATTTGTAACTTGTAATCAATGGCCTATCCGCCGGGTCCTTTGGAAGATCTTTCAAGTCAAACATTATCATTAGGTTGGCTAGAGCATGGTGTTTGTGGAGTTGCATTAGAATCCGAAGGGATTGATTGATTGGTGATTGGTGTTTGTGGAGTTGCATTAGGATTAGAAACGGAAGAGATTGATTGATTGGTGATTGGTATTTGGGAACATTCTTCACCACTTTCATTAGGATTAGGTCTTTGTCTTTTGGTAAAAAAAACCACTTAGTTTAACCTATAAAAACATAAAAATTACACCTAATCAAACAATGACTTCAATAAAACAAGTTGCTTTCACCTAATCAAACAATAAATTCAATAAAAACATAACAATTACACCTAATCAAACAATGACATCAATAAAACAACTAAACAAGTTGCTTTCACCTAATCAAAGAATAAATTTAATAAAAACATAACAATTACACCTAATCAAACAATGACTTCAATAAAACAACTAAACAAGTTGCTTTCACCTAATCAAACAATAAATTCAATAAAAACATAACAATTACACCTAATCAAACAATGACTTCAATAAAACAAGTTGCTTTCACCTAATCAAACAATAAATTCAATAAAACATAGCAATTTCACCTAATCAAACAATAAATTCAAAAAAAAAACATAGCAATATAACCTAAGCAAACAATATAACTTCAATAAAACAAATCAATTTCACCAAGTCAATCAATAACTTCAAAAAAACATATCAATTTCAAATATCTAAATGAATTGGTAAAACTTACTTGCTTCATTGTAGGGCTTTGAAGTGGATTTTGTTAACCAAAACAGTAGAAATTGAAAGAAGTCGATTTTGTTACTTGCTTCAAGAGATTGACTATTGTTGAATACTTGAATGTTGATCGATCAACAATGAAATCGATCAAGAATTGTCCGAACAGGAGGTCACGAGTCACGACTGTCGACAGTAGCCAAGCAACGATTGAACGAATTTTGGAATCGGAAGTCGAGTAGTCGATGCCTCGATGGATTCTGTTATCGTGTGCCTTTTTTTTTCTCCATTGTACCGATAATACACAATTACACACTCAATTAATTAGGATTGGGCTTTTTACAAACAATTAGCCCAATTGCTAATTTATCAAATTAAGTTTTATTTTGGGCTTTGGACAATTGGACTATTAGACAATAATTGATTAAAACATTGGAGTCGTTATTATTTTTTTTCGTTTGGTAATTCCCGATAGAGTGACAATATTTTTTTTTATGTAGTTGCACAAAAAAAATTTAGTAGTTGCACGATTTTTTTTACGTAGTGACACTTTTTTCTATTACGTGCGTGGAAGCTAGGTCCCCAATATAATTTGAATATTCCGTTTCTTCTATAAAAAAAAACATTATTATGTGAACAGGTCCCCAATATTTGCGAAGATTTGATTGTTAACCCATGAACCAGAAGTGTATGATCAAAAGTCAAACTTTTAAGTCTTAACCCTTGAACCACAAGCTACCTGTTAATGAATATATCCAAACAAACTATTTTCACACGAAGGAAAGTTTTCGTTTACATGTAGAGGGACGAAACTTGTAATTTTAGTAATTTACATTCCAAGTGAAATTAACCAAAAAACTGGTTAATAGATATGGTGTTATGATCTCTTGGCTTGTTGAAGCGCGCATGTTGATCTCCAGTTAATAATCTTCTTACTCGCTACTCTAGGGTTTTTTCTTCATCCATTAATGGAATCCAAGACTTTTTCTCATGAGGTTTGTAGTCTTATACTCCAGTTATTTCGTTAATCCTACTACTTCAAATCAAAACTTGATAACCTGATAAAATTCTTTATTCCTGTTGATTGCTTATAATTATGCTTGTGAATTATAGCAAAAAAACCCCGACTTTGTAGTGTTTTTCGTTTAAAGCTTGACGTAGTACAGCATTGCGATAATTTACCCTAAGCCCTCTCTCCTCTATCGCCCCCAATTTCTACCCACTAGTTTAAAGAAACGGCTATGCTTAAGATTTGACGATCGAAGGGTTTATTTTTCGTATTTGGAGTTGTTATGGGTTTTAAAGTTTTGGTAATTGGACTTGATTTTGACGTCGGTTTTACTAAATTGATGTGGGTATTCTAGAATTTATAGTCGGAAACATAATTTTCTTCTTTGATATTTAAAAAAAGCTACATATAGGAAAGACATCTGTGTTATATTTGATGAAATTACTGATATTTTGTTAAAAGAGATGAATTCCCTAAGCTTCTTTTGTTACACAGATCAAGATAGAACAGAACACTCATGTTTTGTCCCACCCAAAAAGGTGGAACAAAGTTTGACATGTGTAAAAGACGTGAATGCCCTCCTTATTTTTATCACTGAAAATAGTCCTCACCTGTTACAAAAGCATCTATGCATATATTTTATATATGTCACCTGACATTGTGCTTGTTTCAAAGAACCATGGTACCCTTTTGCCTCAATAACAATGGTATAACTATAATCGAGCTATTGTAGTGTTTATCAATTATGATATGATATTTTTAATTTTTTATTTCTATAGGTTTTGGTATGTCAAACATGTGGAGACAAAGGATTCACCAATGCTTTTGTTTATTGTATCAAGTGTTTAAAATTTGTTATTCACAGGTACATACCATTCTTTTCATTTTTCCTATCTATTCTTCAGTGTAATTCATGCATATGCATGTACATTACCAACATGAATAAAATACAAAAGTATTATTAATGACAGAATTTTGAAATAAGTTACTATTTCACCTAAAAAATACTTTCTCTAAATGTAATGAACCACAAATTTATTGTCCGACATTCCCTTTTTGTTATTCAGATACTGTCTAAATGTAATACCAAAATCATTCGATGAATTTGTCGAATGGGCTTGTGAAGATTGCCAACAACCACTTTCAAATCCGTTCACTTCACATAAATTCAACCCTTCAAGGTCTGATAAACAGAATGCTGCAATTGCACCACAAGTAAAAACAAAGAAACAAAAGAAAAAACCAAAAAGGAAACCAAAAAAGAAAAGGAAAGTTGCTGTTTCACCATCAAATTCCCTAAAAGAATTTCGGTTGAAAAATTGTATTCTTGCTTTAGAGGCTCCATCGAAAAGAGAGGACAAAAGGAAAAGAGATGAAAGTTTATCAGGTGTGGAAAGAAATGAGAATAAAACTCAAAAGATGGTGGATTCCAATTCCAACGAGCATTCTTGCTGTGATTCCAGTTCTACAGATGTAAATTTAAAGAATAAAACGGGCATTCAAGAACCAGAGACCAGTCCTGAAAAGTTAGTTTCTAATTCTTCATCCTTTCGCTGTGTTTGGTTCCAACGGAATTGGAATACGAGATTCCATTCCAGGGTGGAAGTAATTCAATTCCGTTCAGTTTTACATATATTTACAATAACCAAAAGATATTTGATTGTAAAATAAAAGCTTCCATCTAAACGTGTGACACATTATGATTCCTTTGGATTCTAACTTCTCTGGATTCCAATTCCTGTGACAGATTCCATTCCTTTGAAAATCATCCTACGAATCAAACACCCGATGATCTCCAGGTTGAAACAGCAAACCAGATGCATAATGAACAAGAAATAAGAACAGACAAAACTAATGCTGATGTCACTCAATCAACGGTTGTTGAAAATAATGTAGATTACATCCCTTATCAACCTGCACAACCAGTCCTGGAACCAGTATGGAGGTAATGTGTTTCCGTTATCCTGCCCGGCTGCCCGACCGACCGGCCCGACCTTGCCACCTGTCATTTATTATTGTTGAAAAATTGCAGGGGAAGCTTTGATATTACTCAAACAGATTATAATCTATTTGAAGGATTTGTTGGGCATTTATCGAATAAAGCTTGTTTCAAGGTGTGTCAAGAGGCAAATGTGCTTCCCTCTTTACTTTCTCTAGAAATGCATCCAAAGACTGTTTTATGGCCAAAAAGCTTCTTGGAGTCTCAACCTTCTGATGAAAATATTGCTCTTTACTTCTTTCCAGGAGACACAAAGTAATGTCAAGTTTTTTTTAATCTTTCACTAATTCTATTTTCTCATTTATGTATTTATTTATGGTGATTATGTTCCAAATTTGACCCTAGAAATGAACGGGATTATGAGGACTTGGTGAGTGATATGATAGATGAAGAGCTTGCAATGAAAGCCCCTGCCAAAAATGCAGATTTATTGATATTTACTTCTAGAGTTCTGCCTCGACCTTTCTGGAGTGAGTTTTCTTTTTATTTATCCTTCTAAATTTGGTTCGCGGATTCCAACGGAATTGGAATTTGAGATTCCATTCGACGGTGTGTTTGGATGGAATTCAATTCCATCATTTGTGGAATTTACTATTCACTCCAAGGTTGGAAGGAATTTCAGTTCCATTTCATTCCGTTATTTGTTAAAAGACCAAATACCCTCATTTTGTATATAAAATTCAAATAATGTTTATATGACTAAAAGATGATTTGATTGGGTTTGCAGGATTCCAAGGGAAGAACTATCTATGGGGAGTTTTTAAAGGCAAAAAGAATGATCTTAAAGGATCAAACAATAGTGAGAAGAACCCTGTTGTGTCAGAAGATTTTCCACACAAAGTGACAGGTGGAAAAGAAATCCTCACAAAAGTGAAAACTTTTGATTCTCAGAGTCCTCAAAGTCCTTTGTGTAATTACAGGTATATTTTTTTATTCTTCTACTACATTCTGTTCCATTGAATTTACATATAATATAAAAAAGTACAAATGAAAGAAATAACAATGTACTTTTTTTTACAAATCTATCCATTTATAACAATGTTATCCAAATGTACAACAATTTTCACTGCTATAATTGGTTGGATTTTCCAAAGCGTCAATGATCCAAATAAAAAAAAAAAAAAAGTAAAAATTACAATTATGAAATACAAAGAAATTGCTATTTCTTGCATGAGTGAAAATAATTATTGGAACTGAACATAGGGAGTCGTGTTTCAGGTGACACACATGGAGGTGGAGGCTTCATCAATTTCATTGAAACAATATCATTTTGAAGATGGAGACAAGTTCCATTTTGAGATATTGTTGAGAATGTATTTTAGGATGTCTTTTGTGAGGATGTTTTGTATTTATCTAAATATTGAGTTTTTAAAGTATCGTTAGGCAAATGGGGTGTTTGGATGTGTGTTTGTAAAGTGGTTATTGCAACTCGAAGCATATTTAGGTCAAATTAGGTGATGTTTCATCTATGTTAATTATAACCCTTTAGAGTTTTTGTCATAGTTTTCTTACATGTGGCTAACACCATTAGTCTTCTACAACTGTTCGGTTGATATAACAAGAAATAATTTACTCTAAATGATTTTAACAAATGCATTTAACGATAAAAGGCTAATGGTATTAGCTAGAGAGACAAAAAGTGTGATAAAAGACTGTAGACGGATGTTATAGCAGGTAATATTGCCACCCACATAAGCGATTTATCATTAAGACGTGTTTGGCACAAAGTTTTTAAGACTTAAAAAACTTTTAACTTTCAGTTTTTGGGAAAAAACTCCGTAAAAAATTTCATTAGGCAACAGAAATTTTTAGCTTTTATTTTCTAAAAAAAACTCAGGAATTCAAAAGCCTCCTCATATAGCTTTTAAATTTTAGTTTTTAACTAATTTTAAACTAACAGCTGTAGGCTTCCGGTTAATTTTTTAAACTTTGGTTTGGATAAAACGCCTGGATTGTGGCGGCGTAACAAGAAGTGAACATAAATTAAAGGACGATCCAACTCACAAAAGCGGTTTTTGAAATGAATACTAAAAGCAAATGAGACCAAATAAAGATACCTATCAACTATCAAGTGCAATCCACTACATTATTCATTCATATTCATAGTCAATTAGTCATACACACACCTCACAACTGCAACTATCCTACAATCACCATGGATCGAAGCTTAGAAGATATGAAATTCATTGGCTTCTTCGGCATCTTCAAACAATCATTCAAAACTATCTTCTCATGGAAAAAAATCTTCGCACAAATCATTCTTACCTTAATCCTTCCTCTCACAATCATCTTCTTAGCTCACATCGAAATCTCCCGTTATTTGTTCTGGAAACTCGAACGAAATTCATTGCTGCTTGACACCGATTCCTACTATCGACTCCACGTAAGCGCCATCGAATGGCTCTACTACGTCCTATTCAAAATCGCCTACTTCATCCTCCTCACCGTCTTCTCCCTCCTCTCCACCGCCGCCGTCGTCTTCACCATCGCTTCCATCTACAGCGACCGAGAAATCGTTTTCCAAAACGTCATGAAAATCATCCCGAAGGTCTGGAAACGACTCCTTGTCACTTTCGTATTCATATATCTCGCGTTCTTCATCTACGACATAATCGGCGAAGTGGCACTCGTTATAACCAGATCTATCTTTCATTACTCAACCCTGAGTTTACTCCTTACGCTTATCATCCGAATCTTATACGTTATAGGTTTCTTATACATGACCCTCGTTTGTGAATTGGGTAGCGTTGTGACTGTTCTGGAAAATAGCCATGGATATAGAGCTTTGAGGAAAGGTAAGGATCTCGCAAATGGGAAGAAGAAAGTGGGAATGGGAATTGCATTCGTGTTGTATGGTTTTTTGGAGGGATTACTTGTTGTGTATCAGTGGTTCGTAGAATATGGGGGAGTAAATTTCAATTTGGCGATGGTTTGGAGGGTGATGATTGGAATCTTATGTGGGTTTCTGCTTTTGATGTTCTTGCTGCTCATCGTTGTGATCCAAACAGTGCTTTATCTGGTCTGCAAATCGCATCATGGAGAAGCCATTGATAAGCTTAGTTTATCGACGTTTTTAGGAGCTTATATGGGGCAGACGGTGGCCGGCGAGGAAGTCCAGCTTGGAAGACCTCCACATCAACAAGTGTGAAAAGGCTTTGTTGGGCAGTACCTTTTGCATATATTGTTGTACTTTAATGGTGAAACAAGCGTGGGAAATCAAAGCAGTCAAAGTTGTAATTTTGTAGTGGGAAAATGAATTATATGGATAACTATGTTTCAAAATCGTTCAAAAAATACCATTCAAGTTTGGTGTGTCTAAAAAGCATCATCCAAGTAAAACATTTGTATAAAAAACACCAACGAAGTACATTCTTTGTTCAAATTTGACATTTGATAACCGGCAATTACCGGTAAAAAATAAGTAAAGGAAAAAAAACAATAGGAAATGACTCAAAGAGGTAACTATGTTTCAAAATCGTTCAAAAAACACAATCCAAGTTTGGTATGTTCAAAAAACACCATCAAAGTAAACTTTTTGTACAAAAAACACCAACAAACTATATGTTTTGTTCAAATATTACCCACCGGTAACTAGTTCTTATAGGTTAAATGATAACTTGACTTAACTATTATGTCATGGCATGATAATGATTGACAAAACAATAAATGATATATTCCTCCTTTAAAAACCGATTTAGGGTTTCTTCATGAACGAATGACTTATTCTTCTCCTATGATTGCTCGTCTTCTTCTAAAGTGATGATCTCGAACTCAAGTCCAAAACCCTAATTCTTAACTTAAGGCAAAAAGGGCTCCTTTACCCCTGCCTCAATGGACCTCCCTCCCCCTAAGGCCCAAATCCATAAAAAGCCCAAAAAGGCATCCAAGCCCAACTACAAGGCATCTAAGGCCTAATATGGTCTAAGAACCCCCAACATGGCCTTAGCCAAAAAATGACCTGCTACAATCAGGTGGGCCCGAGGCCTAACTTAAACAAGTCTGTGCACAGTCCCATCATATCCGGATGTCGAGCCAGTACGTCCGGCGTACTCCTAGCGTACGCGCAACGTACTCGGCTAGGGTCAAGAACCGCCAATCTTCCGAAGGCCATAACTTCTTCATTCTAAGTGTGATTTCGTCATTCTTTATATCTACGGGAGCTAATTTAGGCATCAGACAGCCATCCTGAGGGTTATGGCCTTCAGATTGCAATTCTTAGTGTTACCTTAATGCTAAATTAGATTTCGTCATTCCAAGGTCCAACCGAGTAGGGACCGAGTGTTCGGTTTGTGTTTGAGCCCAAGGGCATATCAGTAAGTATCAGTTCGAGCCTTTATGAAGTTTAGGTTTATGTTAGAAAAGTTTTAGGGTTTTGGACTTGAGTTCGAGATCATCACTTTAGAAGAAGAAGAGCAATCATAGGAGAAGAAGAAGTCATTCGTTCATGAAGAAACCCTAAATCGGTTTTTAGTGGAGGAATATATCATTTATTGTTTTGTCAATCATTATTATGCCATGTCATAATAGTTAAGCCAAGTTATCATTTAACCTGTAAGAACCAATTACCGGTGGGTAATATTTGAACAAAACATATAGTTTGTTGGTGTTTTTTGTACAAAAAGTTTACTTGGATGGTGTTTTTTGAACATACCAAACTTGGATGGTGTTTTTTGAACGATTTTGAAACATAGTTACCTCTTTGAGTCATTTCCTATTGTTTTTTTCCTTTACTTATTTTTTACCGGTAATTGCCGGTTACCAAAGGTCAAATTTGAACAAAGAATGTTCTTTGTTGGTGTTTTTTATACAAATGCTTTACTTGGATGGTGTTTTTTGAACACACCAAACTTGAATGATATTTTTTGAACGATTTTGAAACATAGTTACCCATATAAGTCATTTTCCCTTTTGTAAATGTTCAGGTCATATTTTCATGTCTAAATCCAGTGTTTGAGCTTTATGTAAAAAGCAAAAACTATTGTGCATTTTTTTAAAAAGAATGATGTACGCAATTACAAGTACTTGACGAGAGACATTTTTCAAAAAAAAAAGTTTTCTTTTTTTTCTTTTGTATATTAAGTTCTATTAATTAAACTTTGTGGAACCTACAAATAAGTCATGAGATTGGTTTGTGTTATAGTACGAGTATTTTGAATGTTCTGGATTATATAATTATTATCTTTATGGCAAAATAAAATAAAAATAGAAAAAGTTGAATAAAATAAAGCTCTACAATCTAAAAGTTGTTTGCTAAAAGTTAAAGAAGGGTTTTTAGGTATTAATGATTCTTAAACCATCCCCAGTCATGTTATTAGGCTTTTAAACATTTCACATCATTTTTATAATTATTCATATCTATATCTTATACAACTTAAAAAGACTTTTGTCAGAGTTGTTGAAAACACCACATTTCAAAGCCACATGAATTTGGTATAATCTAACCTGTCGTCAGAGAGGACATTGGAGATCTTAGACGATGTCATTCTTTTAGGATTAGAAGCAATGGAAATGGAAATCGAGGGAGGTGGGTGGTGCGAGCTTGAAATGGGTGGGAAATAAGAGGCTTGGTGGAGATGAGAGGCGAGCAAGCAATTCCTTATTTTTCTTTGGCTGATCAAGAGCTATATGAAGCAGCATATAAAGATGATCATGAAGCTTTGCTTGAAGGTGTTTCCATGGTTGGATCCGTTGGCATTCTCCGTCAGCTTGGTGACCTAGCAGAGTCGGTACATTTGTTATTACATTTGTTAGCTTCATCTCTACTGATTTCTGGTCATCTAAAACAAGCCATAAAATGGAAATCAATAACTTTTTTTTGCCCGCCATGTGTTTGTTAAAATGTCAAAGTGAAATGAAACATCTATGCAAGAGCAGGATTTGAAGTGAAGGCTTTGTTCAATACAGATTAAACATCTAAAACAAACCACAGAAATCAGTCAAAGCTTAGTCTCTACGGATTTCCGGTCATCTAAAACAAGCCACACAAATGGAAATCAATAAATTTTCTTTTTGTCTGTCAAGGTTGTGAAAATCGCTCGACGGTCGATTGACGTTAAGCGATTAATCGGACTAGACGGCGATTAATCGGGATCCTCAAAAAATTAGTATTTGAAAATCTGAAAATTCGAAAATTTTAGTATAATATTTTAAAGGGAAATCTCCAGAAAAGTCCTAAAATTTTAGGTCAATTTATGAAAAAGTCCCAAACTAAATTTTGTTTACAGAAAAACACAGAATACTGGTTAAAACTTCGAAAAAACCCTTTTCGGGCGGTTTCGCAGATTTAACCGGTATTTTGTCCTTTTTCGTTAGTTTGCTCAAAATTTTGTGACTTTTTAAAAAATTACTTGATAACCAAAATATTGAGACTTTTCTGAAAATTACCATAAAATTAATGGATATTATTATTAACAAATCATTTATAAACACAAAAAATATTTTTATTATAAAAAAGGAAATACATTTATTGCTAATTTCTAGGAATAAATTGGTTGTCTAAGTACTCATCTATTGCTTGTTGACCACTCAAACTCTTTACGTTCCTCCTATGAATTGTTGTGGATATGATGGTGAGATGTACTCGGATAATGTTCCTTTAATGTTGGTGTTCATCTTATGTTTTTTAACCTAACTACCACTCAACATCCATGCCTCACATGTTAACAACCATCAACTAACACACATCTATCAAATGCGAAAAGTGATCCATGAATGATAGTTTATATGGAAACAAGTGAAGGGTGATTATCTATTTAAATTGTCATTCAAAGTTTACTTTTCACTCTCGATAGATGTGTGTAATTTGATGGTTGTTACCGGGTAATGTATGGAGGTTAGGTGGTAATTAGGTTAAAGAACATAATAAAATATCTATATGTTCAAGAATCGTTGTGTAATGATATTTTCTAATAACATGTGATCATATAGCGTCATGTCTAATAGCACGTAGACACTTATTGCTTGTGTATTAATAAATATCAAGGTTCTAAAAAGCTCGCCATGGCGCGCCATGGCTCCAAGGCTTGTGCCTGCCGCCAAACTTTACCAAAACGCCGCTTTAACTCATATATGTATATAAAATAGAATAATAGATGAAAATACATATAAAAACATTAATTATATACAAAATTGCCGCCTTAAGTCACGCCTTACAAACGACGTGGCTCGCCAAGGCTCGGAAAAGCTTGAGGCTTGACATTGCCGCCAAGTCACGCCTTACGTTATTTAGAACCTTGATAAATATTATCAAATCTTGTATTGGTCACGCCTAACAAGTTAGTTCTTACTATGACACCCACAACGATACATAGGAGGAACATAAGGACTTTGAAGTGGTCAACAAACAATAGAGAAGTACATAGTCAACCATTCTATTCCTAGAAATTAGCTAAATGTATTTCCTTTGTTTATAATAAAAAATTATATGTTTATAAATTATTTATTAATAATAATATTCATTAATTCCATAGTAATTTTCAGAAAAGTCCCAATATTTTGGTTATCGGGTAATTTTCAAAAAAATCATAATATTTTGAGTAAACTAACGAAAAAAGACAGAATACCGGCTAAATCTTTGAAACCGGGCAAAAAGGGTTTTTTCGAAGTTTAGCCGGTATTCTGTGCTTTTCTGTAAACAAAAATCAGTTTGAGACTTTTTTTATAAATTAGACTAAAATTATAGGAGTTTTTCATAATTTGAAAACTTAAAAATTTGAAAATTTAAAATTTTGGTGTAATATTTGAAAATAAAAAATTTGAATTTTTTAAATATTTACCGTCTATGACCGCCAAGGACCGACCAAGGGCCGTCAAACCCGAGTTTGACCGATTTTGACCAATTTCCGCCAAACACCCTAAGTGTAATCAGTTCAAGGCTTCCAAACGATTTATCGCCGATTTCTGCAACACTGTTATCTACTACATGCTTAAGAGAACATATATGATGCATCTGTATCTCAAATAGAAGAAGAAAGCAACTGATAGCTCATTTTGCCTTTAAAATTTCTATATGTGCACATGTACTTGCTTTTAATAACCATATTGAACATTGTTTATATAGATTTGTATGTGAAATTTATCATTAAACCCGTATAATGACACATTAGTGTATTGTAGATTCCATAAACGATGATGACTCAATCAAATGTA